GCTTCATTTGTAGCAGCGAGCAGTTTTGTCAGTGTGCATTTGTCAGTGCCTAAGTGTGCTAGTGTAAGTGTGTAAGTGTGTGTGTGTGTGTGTATTTTGTTCAATCAACAGCACCAGTTGAGTGGTAGTGCACCCTCAACGACAGGCACGTTTGCAGCCTGACAGACAGACCGGCAGACGGACACAGTCAGGCAGTGCACTACTAGTCGTAGTATTAGGACTAGTCGGCAACAGTGCTAAACAAATAATTAAAAGATACATACTACAAAGTTGTTCAGGCCGTCGAACAGAGTCACATCGCTGCAAACACAGATCATATTATTACTTTTTGTGTGTCTGTTCAAATGGTCAAGGCAAGCAAAATTTAACGTTTGTTTTGTCTTTATCTGATTAACCAAAAAACTGAAATGTACAAAACCCATTTTTACTCTAATTCTCATTTGTAAAGCAAAACAGTTGTTTTCATTAAAACTAAGCAAACAAAAAAATCATAAAATACTGNCAGAGTCACATCGCTGCAAACACAAATCATATTATTACTTTTTGTGTGTCTGTTCAAATGGCCAAGGCAAGCAAAATTTAACGCTTGTTTTGTCTTTATCTGATTAACCAAAAAAACTGAAATGTACAAAACCCATTTTTACTCTAATTCTCATTTGTAAAGCGGAACAGTTGTTTTCATTAAAACTAAGCAAACAAAAAAATCATAAAATACTGAGTTTTTCTTCAAATAAACTACAACTTTAGTACTGATGACTGACCAAACTGATCACACACTATTTGCAAATCACTTTTTTCTGAACTAGCGAATAGATGCAGTCTCTCTCTCTCTTTTTCTCTCTTTTCTCTTTTCTTGTGATCCCCTAACACTTGTTGTCTTGGGGGCACTGTGTGACGGCCACTGGCGCCATCGTTCATTCCCACTGCTGCTGCCACTGCCGCCGCCGCCGTCGCCGTCATTGCCAATTGACAGTTTGCACTTGTGTGTTCTCCTAGCCACCACCACCACCACTACCAGCAACATTAGCTGCTGCTGCAGTCGCCGTACTGCAACATCAGCATTAGCAGCAGTCAGCCGTCGACCATCGCCAGGAGCGCAACAGGCGTCTGTCCTTCTTCTCCGGCGCACTGGCAACTTTGCATGCCTTTCAAGCATTTGGCGCGAGTTGATCTGTCTGTGTGTGTGTGACTGTGACTGTTCTCCGAGTGTGTGTGTGTGTTTTAAAGCACACACACAACAAATCATCATCGGCAGCAGCAGCGGCAACATCAACAACATCAAAAGATGACTGTAATGAGATGGCCAGTATCACTCAGTGCTCCCTACTGCTGCTACTGAATTGCTGATCAATTTGCTCTGACACCTTCTCACTGTGCAAAACATTTAAGAATTGAACGGCACACCAGTGTGCTAGTAATCAACAGCGAAAATCAGTCGTCAGCTTGCTGTTGTTTTTCTCTTGCCTAATCTGCTTCTAGCGTTTAGAATTGATCGGAAGTGAAGCACACTGAATTGAAGTGCTGTACGCTCTCTGCACGCCGGCTGTGACACGACTGTATCACACGGATAAGAGATTGTCTGCCTGTTTAGCCTGCCAGCCAGTCTGCCTGCTAGTGCTAGTGTTAGTGCTAGTCGGCAGCAGTGAAGCAGTCCAATTCAGTCTGTTCATCTGCGCAAGAAACAGGAGGACTACTCCGCATCCGGGGTTGATTAGCCACTTTCAAACCTGGAAAGCACAGTTTGCCCTGGCCAATAGAATGAGTTTATTTTTTACTTCTGAAAGCCAATACAGCAGCAGCACTATCAACTTTCTTATACCAGCAGCAAACCGTACGACAGTAGCTTAGCCGCTAATTATGCTGCACATGGTCATCCTCTTCAATTAAAACATCATCACCAATCAACTACTTGTACTCAATTGCCTTCTTTTATTGCTGTTTTTGTTTTCATTTTAGCTATTTTACAACTATTTGTTAACAATGTTGACCTAATATGACATTGAATTGTGCTAACTCACATTGAGTGATTTATGTATAATTTTATTTTGTGATCATCATCAAGCATGTGTTCAACATTTTAATATTTTTTAGTTTTAACCAACATCCAAGTAAGTATATTTACTTTGAAGCTGTTTTGATTTAAAAAATACTTTTATTAACAATGGTTATAAAATTTGTGTTATTTAAATAACTTAAAACAACAGTAACATTGACCATTTTAACATTTAAATCTTTTTATTTATTAACCTTAATGTTTTAATAGGTTTTTAAGTTATTTGTGTTGTTGAAAAATATACGTTAAAATAAATTATTAGTGATTATTAATGTGACGTACAAGCAAAAATGTGTGGAAAACCCTTTCAAAATTGCATAATTAATAAAAAACTTTTATTACCTCAATGCCTGTAAAAAATAATGTGTTTTAATGTAGTGTTTTGGTATTATTCTCAATGTCGCGGCAAACACGTTTAATTTTTCTCAAGATAAATATGAAGTCTTTTAATATTATCTTGTGCAGTGTTGCCATAATGATTAACAGCAGTGTCAGTGTTGTCTGACTAATTGGCAGAACCACTTGACTGCTCATCAATGACAAATAGTTACTAATGCAATTTGAAATTTAAAGTTTGAAAAACTATTAATATTTTTTACAAACAATTTGTAACTAATTGTTTTAGTTTAAAACAGGCTAATTTACTAATATTGCTCTAAAGCAAATTAAGTTTTTATTTTTGCGTGATAAAATGTAAATTGGATAATAAAAAGTAATTTTATTTTGTCGGCATAACAATTATAAAAACTCAACCAAATAAAAACAATTTTTTATTACAGTATTTACAATTTTTTACCGTTGATTATACTTTCAAACTAAGGTACAAATTATTATACGTTGTTGAGTGAAAATAAACTAGACAGAATTGTGAGATTATGTTATCAACTTTTATTTATAGACTTGCACTTAAATTCATTTAGGCAAGAAGTGTTGTAATTTTTTGTTATTATTGCTATGTTCATGAAATTCATAAAAAACAAAAAAACAGTGACGGTTTGATCAAAGTCATTGTGTGCTTACAAAATGAAATCAGATGGGCAAAGTAGGGGGAATTCTACTCAGTTTTGTTTTATTCAAGTTTTCTCCTTTCTCCTGAGCACCCAACCTGCCACAACAATTGCCACTGACTAATGAAAAAAAGCAGTTGTAGGGGAGAAGGCAATCACCAAACTACCATGTTTTTCTGACTTGCAATCTCGCTTTCCTAATTAAAAAAAGAGAGAAAGATTGGGAGAGAAATGGACAAACTAGAAGACTTCCAAATTTCCCGTCGACACTTTTTCTTCTTTTTCTCCGTCGTCACTGTGTGGTTTCAGTGAGAGTGTGTTTAGGTACACTGACTGACTGGCAAACCTGATGGAAAATTGCAGCTAGATGCAGCTAAATGAAGGCACAACAGACTGCCGCCACACAGACACACCAGTTCAGATAGTTCAATTGGCCAGTTGTCGGCCGACACACCAGTGGAGACGATTGGCCAAACACTTGCCACACTGCCAGTGTCTGTCTGTCTGTTTCTGTGTATCTTCATCTGAACACCGAGACAAGTGTCTGTTGTGTCTGTCGTTGTGCATTGCAACACACTTACAGCTGCAGCAGCAACAGCAGTAGCAACATCACAGCTACCTGACGTCAAGTTGATCGGCAGAAGTCAATGCCAGATGACAGTGCATCTTTGAAAAAGTACCAATTGAACTGAGAAAGCATAGACACACACACACAGCTGCCCTGCCACACCTGACCGTCCGTTTTTTGAAGGTAAACCGTACGTGACCAGGATAGTCGCAGTGGCAGAGCAGAAACTTCTCATTTTGGTTCATTATGTGGTCATTAAAAAACAGTGCAATAAAACAGTTTTGCGACTACTGAAAAGCTGCTTTTTCTTGTAAACTGATCGTTTTAGAAAGCAATTAAATTTAGTTAAAATCTGACCATTAGAGTGTTTGCTCAAACAAGTGATCTAAAACTCAAAAAATTTTAATGTTTTTAACAAACTGACCTATGTTTTAGTTAAAACAATAGTTTAATAGTCCAATAGTTAGTATCGACTATCACTGCTCTGTGATGGCGCTGGTTCAGCTCATTGATTCCAATGAGGCATGACCATTGCTTTGAGCAGCAGCAGCAGCAGCAGCAGCAGTTGCTGTGATCACATGCATTGTCAATTGATGCACACTGTTCTCACTGTTGAATCTTTCTGTTCACGCTGTCAATATCTGCTGGCTGGTTGTGTGTGTCTGTGTCTGTGTGAACGATGATTTTCTTTGCAAAATGTTTGTGTAAATTTTCGCACACGTCAACTTACTAGGATGCATCGCTGTTTGCCTCTTTGCCTGTTGCTGAATTGCCAGAGCATTGCCGCAGTACACCACACTTCACACTAGTTCACACTGTGTGGTTTCATTTTCGTTTCTTCCCTCTATCTTTCTTCTGTCTATTCTGCCGATTAGTGGTACACCACAGACACAGTCTCATCATTGTCATTTCATCTTTGCAAGTGCATCTTTGCATTTTGTTTTCATTAGACTTTCTAAAAAGCAGTGAACAACAGTGCTAAAAGCTGAAAGTGAAGTTCTACTTTGGAAAATTTACTCTGGCACTGGTTTTGCACACTGTCAGTCGTGTGCAAAGGGCCAGTTGTCCGACGGCTGCAGCACTGGCCACAGTTGTCATATTGTTTGAGCTGGCTGCTGTTGCTGCTGCCGCCGCACATTTTTTTCAATTAGACTGACTCTAGAAAAAACACCCTGCAACAAGGATGATTAGACTGTCAGTAGCTGTTTTTTCACAATACCTCTTTTTCTTCTTCCCTTTCCTTTTCATATTTGTTTTTTCCTAAATTTTCCTCCGACTAATGACGTATTCTTTGCTCTGACTTTTCTACAGACCGAATTCTAGTCGTTACGTTTTGGTGCCAAGCGGCCTGCTCGCCTACGATCAGTACGCCATGGAGAACACCACCTTTCTGCACGTAGGCGACATGATCTCGCTCTACACTGAAGGCACCGGCCAGAACGGCGTCTCTGGGTTTCTCTCCACGCTTGGGTAAGTTTAAGTTGACTGTTGACTGGCTGGTTATTGCTGCCATCATCCCCCCTTTTACCCTCGTCATGTTTTACCTTTCCCTTCCCTTCTCTTTTTTGTGTTTTTCACTATTGCAAGCGGCACTTACACACTTATACACATTGCGCAATAGCACACACCTGTCAACACTGGCAAACATAGATGTCAATGTACACTGTAAATGGGAAAGTAGAAAGGGAGAGAGAGAGAGAGAGAAAGATTTTACAGGTTAGACACACAGTGTGTGTGTGTGTGGTTACGATGAAAGAAAAAAAGCGCTCAGCAGCAGCAACAAACTGACTTACTGATCAACAACAAATTGCGCCATTTACGTCATCAGAGCAGTCATCAACTCCATTTGCCGTACACTTATCTGCTATCAGCAACTGTAGTTGTCCTCTGGCAAGTTGCTGATGACGCTTGAATCTGAAACTAATTACCCCCTCCTCCAAACAGGCTTACGTTATACTTTATTCTCTGATAAAGATGTCTTTCTCTCTTTTTCATTTTGCTCGTGTACTGGCACTAGAGTGTTTTCACTGTGCTCAAGTGATGCTATTTATTTGTGGTGCACCGCCACGACCATTCGATCGCTTCATTCCGCTTGTCAGCAAAGTGTATCGCAGTCCAAGTGTCGTTCAAATGGACATCGATACATTTGATGGTGGTGGTGGTGTACTGTTACCGATCACACTAACACTTGTCACACTGGCAGTCACTGCCTCGGCTGGTTCCCTGACAACCTGCACTTAAGAGGTTGTCGCACGCCAGACACGCTCGCTATCGCCCACTGCTATCAAAAAATCACTCAATTATTAGATTGTGTGTGCGTGTGCGTGTGTTGTTTCTGCTCCGCACTAAACTACTCAGCACCTTATCAACAGTCAGTTTAGACAGATATACTGCATTTGAACTGTTTTTCAGTGTGAAATTGTGTGTGTGTGCTTATTGGGTGTCCCATTCCGAAAAGGACTCATATCGATTGATTAATTGGTAGTGCCTTTGTTTAAACGAAAAGAACAAATTGCATTTTAAATATGACTTGATTAATTGGTAGTTAGGCGGTAATTAAAGGGTGCGAAAATAAATTTTAAACAAGCATTGCACATTAGTAGATGATAATAAGCAATGTCAGTTAGTTGCGCAAATAAACTGAAAAATCATTTTCAATTTATTTTTGGCACACACCGTTTCTAACATCATAGAACGCTCTCTGACAGGCAAACGCATCATTCTTTTTGCATTGTTGTTTTCTTCTTTAGCAGTACTTTTAAAAGATGCAAATTTTTGCAAAACTTTTTTTATTATTTGCATTGCTATTTGACGGCCACTTTGCCCACAGTCAAAGAGCAAAAAAGTGAAAGCCGCCGGCATGGCACAACATGTGTGTGTGGTCTGATCAGCACAAGCACACACAAAACAAACACACACACCAAGAAAACAAAGTGAGTACTCGGAAGCAGTACACATCAATTGAAGATCATGCATGAGAAGGAGAAAGAGGGGGAGAAATTAACGGGACGTCCTGCGAGTCTAATCAGCCTCAAGGACAGCCAGACACTTCAGACATTTCTGCCTTTCCCTTTTCATCTACCGGCCAAACTCCTTCTCCTTCTCCTTCTTAGCAACAGCAACACACTCGACATGGCCAATTGGCAAATTTTCACTGCTCTACCGGCCTTTTCTTTTTCTTTTTCCTCTTTTTCTCCAGCAACCGCAGACACTTTTAGTAAACACACACACACACACTTACACACATTCTTCCAATTGGTCATATTATTACAACTTCCCTCGCTAACTTACCGCAACATTAGCTGGCGGTGGTGGCGGTGGCGGTGGTAATACGACCAAAACAGAGCTAGGTGCCATTAAGTTTGGCCGCTTATGTTTATGCCAATGCAGATCAATACATCAAAGCGCAAAGCAAATGCTTACACACTCAAAGCTAACTGCAAACGCTGTGGTGCTGCTGTCAATTGTGGTAAGAATGCAAAATGCCGTTAACTTTCTCTCTCTCTCTCTCTCTCTCTCTCTTCTAGCCAGAATGCTTAGTCTGCCTGGTTGGCATCCTTTTGACGCCTGTTTGGCGCCTGTGTTAGCCTAAACACCACTTTTATTGGCCGACAGTGTCGGCTAAATACACGGCAAACTTCACGTATCAATCGATACCTTGTCTAGTAAAGCCAAAACATGCGCATGCTGAGTGTTGCACTAACAACAAACAAAGTTGCTTTTACATCATTTGACAGTACACTTTGTTAACCTGTTGCTTTTTGCTTCTCAGAAAAAATAAAGCCGGCAGTTATTAATAATAGTCTTAAAACAGTTTAAGTCGCAACATAGTTTGTGATTTTTGTAGTTGGCCTGGCCTTGCACTTGAACATTTTAAACTGTTGCCAGGCGGCTACATTGTACAGTTTCAATCTAATCGACCAATCAATCATGTAATGCACAGCAAAACAGTAAAAACACACACACACACTCTGTATTACCTGCAACAGAGAGTCTCATTCAGAAATCTGCTTTGTCTCTCTCTTTTCTTTATATCGTTTTTCTTATTTAAAATTTCTTTTTGTTTCTCCTCTTTTCTAGTCTGGTCGACGATCGATGTGTGGTGCAGCCTGACGCGGGAAATTTAAATTCACCACCAAAAAAGTTTAGAGGTTAGTAAGGCAAAAACTGTTGTAAATATGCCTACTAACAAGCGTTTTTGCATCACCTCCTCTTTTCAGATTGCCTCTTCAAAACATGTCCCATGAACCGGTACTCGGCGCAAAAGCAGTTTTGGAAAGCAGCAAAACAGTCGGCTACCAACACGCAGGATGCCGTCCTCCTTAAGAAACTTCACGTAAGTTTTGATTTCATAAAAACTGTCGACTTTGAATGCTTTTTCATTGATCACTCAATTTTTTCTTTTCTTTTTTTCCTTCAGCATGCTGCTGAGCTTGAAAAGAAGCAAAATGAAACAGAAAACAAAAAGCTGCTGGGCAGTGTGATTCAGTACGGCGGCGTCATTCAGCTGCTGCACCTCAAGTCAAACAAGTTCCTGACGGTGAACAAGCGGCTGCCGGCGTTGCTGGAGAAGAACTCCATGCGAGTGTACCTCGACTCCAATGGAAATGAGGGCTCCTGGTTTTACATTGTGCCCTTCTACAAACTGCGCTCCACGGGCGACAATGTCGTGGTGGGGGACAAAGTGATACTGACGCCGGTCAATGCCGGCCAGCCGCTGCACGCCAGCAACTACGATCTTCCGGTAACGAGTTCACCAATTTTTTTATTTACTCAAACCTAATTCACACACTCTCTCTCTCTCTCTTTATCTGCCTCACACACAAAAAACAGGACAACATTGGCTGCAAGGAGGTGAACGCCGTCAACTGTGATACCTGCTGGAAGATCTCTCTCTTCCTCGACCACAAGGAGAACATCGACGGCGTCCTCAAGGGCTCCGACGTCGTCCGACTCTTCCACGCCGAGCAGGAGAAGTTCCTCACCATGGACGACTACCGAAACAAGCGGCACGTCTTCCTTCGGTCGACCGCCCGAGCCACCGCCACGACGGCCACCTCCTCGAAGGCCCTCTGGGAGGTGGAGGTAGTGCAGCAGGACCCCTGCAGGGGAGGGGCCGGTCACTGGAACTCCCTCTTCCGCTTCAAACACCTCGCCACGGGGCAGTACCTGGCGGCGGAGATCGACGACGATGACACGCCGGACACGATGAGGGATAAGTTGAGAGGGCTGGAGAAGAACGTCTACCACCTGATACCGGTGCCGGCCAGCTACGACCTGGCGTCCATTTTTGAGCTGGACGCCACGACGCTCAATCGCAGCGACAACCTCATTCCGCAGAACTCGTACGTGCGCATGAAGCACGTCTACACCAATGCCTGGGTCCACTCCACCAACATACCGATTGACCGCGAGGAGGAACGCCCCTACATGTCCAAGGTGGGCTGTGCGCAGATTCGCGAGGACAAGGAGGCCTTTGCCATCGTCCCCGTTTCGCCGACCGAGGTGCGCGACCTTGACTTTGTCAACGACGCCTGCAACGTCCTCCTGCAGATAGTGGCAAAGATGGAGGAGAAGGAGGTGTCGCAGAACGACCGAAAGCTGCTCATTCAGCTGCTGCAGGACATCATCTACTTCATCGCCAACCTGGAGAATGAGCCCAATCGGGTGGGCCCCTTCGAGCTGGTGCCCACGGTGACCAATCGCGAGCGACAGAAACTGCTCCGAGAGCAGAACATTCTCAAGCAACTGTTTAAGATTCTGCAGGCGCCCTTTACTGACTCAGGCACGGGAACGCTGCTGAAGATGGAAGAGCTGAATGACAGTCGAAATGCGAGCTACAAGCAGATCTTCCGCCTGTGCTACCGGGTGCTTCGCCTGTCGCAGCACGACTACCGCAAAAACCAGGAGTACATCGCCAAGTGGTTCGGCTTCATGCAGAAGCAGATTGGCTACGACGTGCTGGCGGAGGACACCATCACCGCGCTGCTGCACTCCAACCGGAAGCTGCTGGAGCAGCACATCACCGCCAATGAGATTGAGACGTTCATCTCGCTGGTGCGCAAAAACCGCGAGTCTCGCTTCCTCGACTACCTCTCCGACCTGTGCATCTCCAAGAAGGTGGCCATTCCCATCACGCAGGAGCTGATCTGCAAGACGGTGCTGGCGCCCAAGAACTCCGACATTCTCATCAAGACGTACCTCCAGGAGACGTCCTTCAACGTGGAGATGGACCTGCCGACGCGGTCAGGAGAGGAGATCACCCTAGAGGTGATGAGGGGCACCGAGGAGACGGTGATTCTGGTGTGGGACAACGGCAAAAAGACCCGCTCCATCTGTGAGCTCTCCCAAAGTGGCAGCCCAGAGGACCGGACGTTGCTGGAGTACTACCGCCACCAGCTGGACCTCTTCAGCAACATGTGCCTCGACCGGCAGTACCTCGCCATTGACACGCTCTCCTCGCAGCTCCGCATTGAGCTGATTCAGAAGTGCATGTCCAATGAGATGCTCCCGTACGACCTTCGAGCTTCCTTCTGCCGCCTGCTGCTGCACATGCACGTCGACCGCGACCCGCAGGAGCAGATTACCCCGGTGAAGTACGCCCGCCTCTGGTCGGAGATTCCCCGGAAGCTGTCCATCAATGACTACGACCGAAATAAGCGGCAGTCAGACGTGGCCACCAAGGAGAGCGTCAAGCAGAAGCTCAGCTCGACGATGAACTTTGTGGAGGACTACCTTTGCAATGTGGTCTCCCACGAGTGGTCCTTCACCGACCGAGAGCAGAATAAGCTGACGTACGAGGTGGTGAAACTGGCACGGGAGTTGATTTACTTTGGCTTCTACAACTTCAGCGACCTTCTCCGGCTGACCAAAACGCTGCTGAACATTCTCGACTGCACCGCAGATTCGCCCAATGTGATCAGGGCGGCGAATGGAGGCGGAGGCAAGGAGGCAGGGGGTAAAGGAGCGCCGAAAAAGGATATCAATGGATCAGCGACTGCTTCGAAAAAGCCAATTCAAAAGCAAATGTCGATGTTGCTTGAGAAGGCTAAAGCAAAAGGCAAAATTGGTGGCGGTAGTACCAGCAGCAGCAACAACAACAACAACAATGACAGGACTGAAAACAAAAATAGCCAAGTAGAACTAAGTGACCAGACTGACCGAGCTTTGTTGTCGCTGGTTGAAGGTGATCTTGCATCATCATCATCACCACCAACACCTCCTCTCCTAACAAAACAAACGTCAATTGACCAACAGACAACAACAGCGACAACAACAACAGCAACGACTTCAAACGGTACTGAAAATGGATCACCATCGACGCCCTCTTCGCCCACTTCGACCACTCCTCCAAACGCTCCCTCATTAGAGCAAACAGGAGGAAGTACTGCTTCAACAGGTGCCACCACCACAACTACCACCACCACCACCTCTGGCACATCATCGCACAGTAAACTGCAGATGGACACGCTGGTCATGGACACCAAACTGAAAATCATTGAAATTCTGCAGTTCATCCTCAACGTCCGCCTCGACTACCGCATCACCGGTCTGCTGTCTATCTTCAAGACGGAAATTGACGCCAGCCACATGACGACTGCTCCAACAACATTAGCAGCAGCGTCATCTAAACAGCAGACCAACGGCTCATCGACTAGTTTGAGCACCACTATTAGTAGTACTACAAGCACTTCAGGCATTTCCACCTCCTCCTCAACAAACAGTAGCCTAGTTTCCGCCAAACAGTCCTCTTCTTCTTCAACCTCAAACGCCTACTCTTACGCTTCAACAGAGGCAAATGCTGCAGGTGAAGAAGGCCAACAGGGCAGTGTGAGCATCGGCGAGAAGGGCATCGACCTGGACCGGATCGGCCAGCAGGCGGAGCAGATCTTCGGCGACGAGATCGACCTGGACGGCAATGGCGGCTGCACCTTTCTCCGGGTGCTCGTCCATCTCACAATGCACGAGTATCCGCCACTGGTGAGCGGCGCCCTGCACCTCCTCTTTCGGCACTTCAGCCAGCGCCAGGAGGTACTGCACTCTTTCCGCCAGGTGCAACTGCTCGTCAGCACGAATGACGTGGAAAACTACAAACAGATCAAGTCGGACCTGGACCAGTTCCGCCTGATCGTGGAGAAGTCGGAGCTGTGGGTGTACAAGTCAAAGACGCTGGACGATGCTGAGCAGTTGTCCACTGGAGCTGCCAGCAGACTGCCGCTTTCACTGCAAACCAATGGAAATCGTGATCACCACCTTCACAACTACTCTCATCACTCCAGTCACCATCACCCCCACCACAACACCTCCTCGCCCAGTTCACTGCTGAAGTTGAACACTCTGGGCAGCTCTCTGGACCACGAGATGGGCGGCAGTGGCGGTGGCGGCGGCAGCAGCTTTCTGGGAGGTAGAAACAGCAACAAAAGACAGCATCAATCCTCAATGGGCAACTCGCTGCAGGCGCCGTCAATGGGCCAGCAGCACAGCTCCATCTCCTGTCCCGCCTCGCCCTCCATGTACAGCCAGCTGACGATGAGTGAGATGTCGAAGGAGGAGCGGTCGGCGCAGATCGCCTCCTCACTCTCGGCGCTGCTCAATCTGAGCCAGCACACCGCCGAAACGACCGCCAATGAAAACGAAGATGGCGGAAACGGAGGCGGAAACGGAAACGAGTCTTCGCACTTTTGCATCAACTACGACAAGATCAAGACCATTCTCGCCCGGCTGACGACGCTCTGCGTTCAGGAACAGCACCCGTGTGGGCCGGGGGCGGCGGCGGCTGCGGCTACGCCCGGCGGTGAGCTGAAGGCGCGCAAGCACGAACAACGGCTGCTGCGCAACATGGGCGCCCACTTTGTGGTGCTGGAGCTGCTGCGCATTCCCTACGACAAGAAGGACGTGAGGATGGATGAGGTAATGAAGATGGCGCACGAGTTTCTGCAGCACTTCTGCCTGTCCAATCACCAGAACCAGAGCATTCTGGAGAAGCACCTCGATCTGTTCATGAACCCGGGCATTCTCGACGCGGAGACGATGTGCTCCATTTTCAAGGACAACATCAGCCTCTGCAATGACATCAGCGAGCGGGTGGTGCAGCATTTTGTGCACTGCATCGAGACCACCGGCCGCCACGTGCAGTACCTCAAGTTTCTGCGCACTATAGTGAAGGCGGAGGGCCAAGTGGTGCGCAAGTGCCAGAACCTGGTTATGCAAGAGCTGATCAACGCCGGCGATGAGGTGCTGGTCTTCTACAATGACAAGTCCTCATTTCAGAACCTGGTGGACATGATGCGCAGTGAAAAGCAGCAGCTGGACAAGATCGGCCCGCTGCACTATCACATCAATCTAGGTAAAAACTGAATAGTAAAAAGAGGGGCTTAAACTTACCCATTTATTTTCTTCTCTTTGTTTGCTTCGTTTAGTAAAACTGCTGGCCAGCTGCACGGAGGGAAAGAACGCCTTCACCGAGGTGAAGTGCCACTCGCTGCTCTCCCTGGACGACATTCTCATGGTGGTGCAGCACGAGGACTGCATCGCCGAGGTGAAGGAGGCGTACATTGACTTTCTCGCCCACTGCTTCATCGACACGGAGATGGAGATGAAGGAGATCTACAACTCCAATCACATCTGGACGCTGCTGGAGAACTTCCTCGTAGACATCACCAGCGTGACCAGTGCGCCGCACGACCGGGCGCACGCCGACCTCGCCATGGAGCGCTACGTCTCCACCTCCATCATCAACCTCATCACCATCTTCTTCAACTCGCCGTACAGCGACCAGAGTTCGATCATTCAGACGCATCAGCCGGTGTTCATCAAGACGCTGCAAAGTATCTACCGGCTGAGCACTTGCACCTGGCTGACGCTGCCCCAGCGAGTCAACGTGGAAAATTGCCTGCACGCCCTGGTGGACATCTCCAAGACGAGAGGGATTGCCATACCGAATGAGCTGGAGGCGCAGGTGCTGAACATGTTCCAGAAGCAGACGCTGCTGAATAAGCACAGTCGCGTTTGGCTCAGTGCCGCTCGGTCGGCCAGTTCGGCGAGGAATGTTTCGAGAAACGCCGCAGCATCTGCGGCATCGACTGGTCCATTTTCTGGTGGCAGTGGTAATCAACAACAGCCCAACTACCGCAACGATCGCTCCATCATCGACGCCTTCCAGGACATTGTGACGCTGCTGGAGGAGCAGCTGAAACCCCTGGTGCTGGCCGAGCTCTCCGCCCTGGTCGACGTACTGTACAAGCCGGAGACACTCTTCCTCTACAACTCCATTGCGAGGAAAATCTGCGAAAGTGGCGGCTTCATCTGCAAGCTGATTAAGCACACGGAAAAGCTGATGGAGGAAAAGGACGAGAAACTGTGCATCAAGGTGCTGCAGACGCTCAAGGAAATGATGGACGTTGATCCGCACTTTGATGAACGGGTATGTGTGTGTGTGTGTGTACTCAATGTTTTTTGCTTTTCACTTTCTTTTTCTGCTTTTCTCTTTTTCTTTTTCTTTCTCTTGCTCTCTTTTAATCTGCTCCTTTTTCACTCTTTCTCTCTATTTGACATTTACACGCTTTTGACTAACTTTTGGATTGCTGCGCTGCTTTTCATAATCATAACTCACTCACTCTCTTGTTAACCTTCTGTAAGTCAATACGCCTATTAACTTTTCTACTAGCAGTAGTTTAAATGTCATTTTAGCGAGACATTTTTAGTACTCTTTCTATCTACTAATCTAATTTATTTTCATTTTATGCATTTGCCAATTTTAAATTTTGTGTTTTTTGAAGGGAGAAGCTCTTCGAAAGACACTACTTGATCGATATCTGGTAAAAACACGTCCTCTGCCGGCCAGTGCAGCCCATCACCAGTCATCATCGTCATCATCATCCTCATCACTGGCCGACATGGTGGACGGCAGCATCAGCACTTCAGCCGGCAGTCCTGCCCTTTCCTCCTCTTCATCGACGCCCACCAACGGCGACTACGACACCAGCATGCTGACGCCCGGCGCACTGGCTTCTCACCTGCGAAAGAAAGCCGCCAGCAACAAGCTGACATTTGAAGATGACGGAAGGGGAGGGATGAATGGGAGCTCCCGCAGTGCCATCACGCCCTTCCTGCCCAAATCAAAGGAAAAGAAAAAGTCCACTTCTCAAACCGCTTTTGGGCCGGGCGCCAAGATGGTGATGCGGGCGGAGATCACTCTGCAGGATCTGCAGTGTCACCTCGACCGTGAGGGCGCCAGCAATCTGGTGGTGGAGCTGATCATGTCCAATCCCAACTACTCCATCTTCGTGGAAAGTGTTGAGCTGGGCATCGCCCTGCTGGAGGGCGGCAATAATGCCATTCAAAAGTCCATTTTCTACAAGCTGACGCAGGGAAACAACTCGGAGAAGTTTTTCAAAGTATTCTACGATAAAATGAAGTTTGCACAGCAGGAAATTAAGTCTACCATCAGCGTCAGTTCGAGTGATTTTCACAAAAGTAAGTGAGGTTTTTTGTCAAACGCCAAAGTAATTGAACTAACAAAAACTCAAATTCTCTTTACAGGCGGACTAACTGGCGATAATGAAATTTCCACGCCAATGTTAATCGGTCAAATTGAGGAGTCCGGTGGATTTGAGTCCTCCGGGCAGATGTTCAGCAGCCTGATCAACAAACACCGCCTCACTGCCCGGACGCAAACAAAGGTGGCCAAGCTGCCGCTGGAGATTGCCGTCATGAAGCAGATTCTTCGTTTTCTGCAACTGCTCTGCGAAAATCACAACCCCGACCTGCAGAACTTTCTGCGCAACCAAAACCAAAAAACCAACTTCAATCTAGTGTCGGAGACGCTGATCTTTCTCGACCGCATCTGCGGCTCGACGACCGGCGGCCTCGGCCNCCGTTTTCTGCAGCTGCTCTGCGAAAACCACAACCCCGACTTGCAGAACTTTCTGCGCAACCAAAACCAAAAGACCAACTTCAATCTAGTGTCGGAGACGCTGATCTTCCTCGACCGCATCTGCGGCTCGACGACCGGCGGCCTCGGCCTACTGGGCCTCTACATCAACGAGTCCAACGTGGCGCTGGTCAATCAGACGCTGGAGACGCTGACCGAGTACTGCCAGGGCCCCTGTCACGAGAACCAGAACTGCATTGCGACGCACGAGTCGAACGGCATCGACATCATCATCGCCCTCATACTGAATGACATCAATCCGCTGGGCCGGAAGCGGATGGACCTTGTGCTGGAGTTGAAGAACAACGCCTCCAAGCTGCTGCTGGCCATCATGGAGAGTCGCGCCGACTCGGAGAATGCCGAGCGCATTCTCTACAACATGAGCCCAAAGCAACTGCTCGAGGTGGCCTGTCGTGCCTTCCACCAGAAGCCCACTGCCGTGCCGCAGACTGAAGCAATGCCAAACGCCCCAGTGACGCCCACCACACCTCACCACCGAGCCATCAACTCCCACCACCATCACCCTCTTACGCTTCACCACATCGACGATCCACCGGTGAACAACAACAACGGTCATTTGGGTGATCCGAAGATGCCTCCCGAAAGCTCCTCCACCTTCTGCCGCCGAGCCAACGGCTCCATCGTCGATCCAAAAGAGGTCGGGCACAACATCTACATTCTCTGCCACCAGCTGGCGCAGCACAACAAGGAGCTGGCCGATCTGCTGCGAAACCCTGACAGCGACAAGAGCGAGCAAATCTTCGAGTCGCACGGGAAGGTTCGCGACGCGCTGCAGTACTACCAGACGCACACCGCCCAGATTGAGATTGTCCGTTTCGACCGGACGATGGAGCAGATCGTCTTTCCGGTGCCGCAGATTTGCGAGTTTCTCACCTCGGAGTCGAAAGGCAAGGTGTACTACAATGCGGAGCGGGATGAACAGGGCAGCAAGGTCTTTGAGTTCTTTGAGCGGGCGGATGATCTGTTCAATGAGATGAACTGGCAGAAGCGGTTGAGAGGTAGGCTTTTATTGAAAAATAGAACTATTGTTGAACTGCTTGATGCAATTAACTCACAATGCTTTTTCTTGTCACAGAACAACCACTTCTCTACTGGGTGTCCCGACACATGTCACTGTGGAACAGCTTCTCTTTTTACCTTGCCTTTGTGGTCAACCTCATCGTGGCCCTTTTCTATCCGTTTCCCAACAAAGCTGGTAAGTGAAAGCAAATAAAAAAAATTTTACTGTTATTGATGTGCGGTTTATCATTAACTCCCTAGAAATTGACGCTCGAATCTCCGCCGGCATATGGGCCATTCTGCTGTTTGCTCTGGCATCAGTGTTCGCCTTTCCGGGAAAACTGGGTTTTCGTGTTTTAATCGGCGCCAGCATACTGCGGTTGATCTTCAGCATTGACATACAGCCGACGCTCTTTCTGCTGGGCGCCATTCAGGTGGTCATCAAGGCGGTGCATCTCATTAGTATTATGGGCAATCACGGCACGCTGACGAAGAGCATCGGCAAGATCATGACGGACCGCGAGTTCGTCTACCACATCAGCTACCTGGCCTGCTGTCTCATTGGCCTCTGCTGGCATCCCTTCTGCTACAGCATTCTGGTAAAATGAAAACAGCTTTTTATGCATCATCAATTTGTACTAATATTGCTTTTTCTTCTAAATTAACCTTTCTAGCTTCTAAACGTCATCTACCAAGAGGAAACGCTAAAAAACGTCATTAGATCAGTGACCCGCAACGGACGGTCCATCATTCTCACCGCTTTTCTGGCACTGATCCTCGTGTACCTCTTTTCAATCATTGGCTACCTCTTCTTTCGAGATGATTTCCTCCTTGAGGTGGACGGCACACCGGCCAAAGACGGTCTTGATGAAGCGACTACACTTTCTCTGGACCTTCCTGAGTCGGTGCTTAGCGAGGCGCACCGGAGTTCACTTCAAAACTTGACAGTAGAAGACATTGACCGGGCGGGAAACGCTTCTTTTTGTGCCAATGAGAACTGCACTTCCGCCAGCAACGGCTCAGAGGTTCGGGACAGCAGTGTCATTCTTGATTTAGTTCAAGACTTGAAAAAGCACAAAAAAGCTCATCATGCTAGGTTGTTGAAAGCTGACGCACATGAAAGTGAAGAAATAGAGGAGAGAGAAGAGGAGTCCTCAAAGGAACGGGCATGTGACTCGCTGGTGATGTGCATCATAACGACGCTGAATCACGGACTGCGAAACGGCGGCGGCATCGGCGACGTCCTTCGCTCGCCGAGCTCCGTCGAGCCACTTTTCATTGCCCGGGTCATCTACGATTTACTCTTTTACTTCATTGTCATCATTATCATCCTCAACCTCATTTTCGGTGTCATCATTGACACCTTTGCTGATTTGCGTTCTGAAAAACAGCAAAAAGAGGAGATTCTCAAAAACACCTGCTTTATTTGCGGTAATTACATACAGTTGTTTTGATTTTAAAACATTTGTTATTCTTTTCAATTGCACTGTTTAGGTTTGGATCGTTCGGCTTTTGACAACAAAAGTGTTTCTTTTGAAGAGCACATTCGAATGCAGCATAACATGTGGCACTACCTCAAGTTTATTGTGCTTGTAAAAGTAAAAGACCCGACTGAGTTTACAGGTCCAGAAAGTTATGTTGCCTCAATGATTAAAGTAAGTTAGCTTTTGCATCGAATAGTTTTTGTTTCGCTAATACTAATAAATGTATAATTTGAATCTAGGAGCGTAATCTTGACTGGTTTCCTCGAATGAGGGCCATGTCATTGGCAGCTGAAGACGGTGGAGATGAACAGCAAAATGAGTTAAGAACTTTGCATAGTCAGTTGGAAATAACTATCAAAATGGTTGAAACGCTGAGTCGACAACTAAGTGATCTAAAAGACCAGGTTTGCTTGATTTTTTTTATTGTGTACCCATTTACTAAGCATTGCCATTTTTATTTGTGTATTATAGATGATGGAACAGCGCAAACAACAACATCGCAAAGGTATTCTTAACACAAACATCACTCTCAACAGTCACGAACGCTAATGTTTGTATCTCAAAAAATGGCACAATTAGTCAATTTTCATATCTTTTTTGCAATCTCGTACAGTCAATTTACAATTGTTTTTTAATTTTTTAATTTTGTAAGTTTTTCTGCATTTGTTGTTATATTGACTGTACATATTGATATTTTTTATTTATAATATGCGTGATACAGTTTATTTTTTGTTGCGATATAAAAAGTTTTTTATAGTTATTTTGTACTTTTAATTTGTTTTTAAATATTTTTACTTTTTGTAATCTTTTATATTTTAAAACTAAAAATTTGTTATTTTTGCGCAACAAATAGAACTATAGTTAAATCGTAGCAGGAACGGTATTTAACAGCATTCGCACAAGCAAAATTTACTGATTGGTTTAAATGATTAATAAAAAACACAATCAACTGATACTTTTTTGTGCAAGTTTTTGTAATTTGACTAGTGTTCATTTTAATTTTTTATTGATTGTTTGTTTTTGTTTGTAAATTAATATTAAAAACTTAAAATGTTTTTTATAAATTTAAATTATACTTATTTAAAAGTTTTGTATCAAAACAAATCTGAATCGACTAAAAAAATAAAATTTAACTTTTTTATGTCAACAACATTGTTATCACTATGACACAATTACTAAACTGATCTCAAAATTCGTGTGACTGCTTTTATAAAGCAAATCGCATAATGATCATGTGGCAAAATGTCAATATACAATACAATAATTTATAGCAATTGATTGATTGAAAATAATTTAAACTTCAAGGTTTGAAAACGTTTCATAAGTAACGTTTTAAAAAAACAAAATGTTAAATTGCCAAAAAAACAAGTAATAATGACAGTTGTACAATGATAGTTGTACTTTTTAAATACAATCAATTATTGCTATTTTTTAAAATATTAAACATCAAAAAGTTTTTAAATTGATATAAGTTAAGGCAACTGGTTTTTATGCATTTTAAGTTGCTTTTTAATTTTTAAACATTAAATACAAGTTTTCAGTTGGTTTACATTTTAATATTGCAGTTATTTTGATAGTTTTAATGCAGTTTTACCACGTTTTTAATTTTTTAAAATAATTTGTCATTTTTGACTAAGTCGTTAAACAATTTCGCAATTTTTTTACAAAGTTAAGTATTAGAGTTTTTTAAATTGTGAAATCCATTTATCAATTTTTCACTCGAAAACTAAAAGATTGAGTTGAAAAGCGATTGCCAACTTTTTTCGGCGTTTGTGATGTCTGCAACTTCAAAAAAGTGCACCCGCCAAAAACTTATCAATTGACTATATGCATCTCCAGTTTCAGGCAAAACTATCCGTTGATGTGATGTGATCAATCCATTAGCAAGATGGTTCGTCTTATTCGAATAAATGTTTTTCTTCAGTTGCTATGATCAGGATTTCAATAAATTTGATAAGACCAAATTGTTGGCTAATCACTAGTCTACATGTCTGTTTTTTTTCAGGCGCAAGGTTTCTTTTATAATTTATGGCACTCGGTTGATGACTGTCTTTCTAATCTTAATGTTGAAGCAAACAGTCACAACCAAATTGAGCTGCTGCATGTTCTCTTTAACTGTTTTTCGATTTTGCATTTAAAAAAATTAAAGTGTTCAATTCAAAGTATTCATTGCACTTTGCAGTCAAAACCAAAGATTTTAAAGGTATTTAATGAAATTTAGTTTTTTTAACCTAACAATTTTGTTAATTCAAATCAACAATACTTTTGTGTGTTATTTTTCCTAAAAAACTATTTGTTTATAATTACTTACTTTTAAGCTAATGAATTTATAGTTAAACTTCCCCATCAGATGACAATTGCAACACCACTTGGTAAATTAACTTAATCGATGTTTAGTGTACAACTGTCAAATTACCGTCAACCGGTAAAAACCTAATTTTTTATATTAATCAATTTACTGTTAGTTGCAATCGTCAAAAACCTACGCGCACCATCGATTTTATGTTTTCACCAAACGCTTTTGTTCGTTTTTATTAACTTTTTAAAATTATTAACTGAAACTGTCAAATTGAATGTTTCTGTGAATGTGTGTTAAACAGTGGTCGATTTCAAGTTCCATTCGCAATCGTTTTTTACCAACAATTAGCTCACTTTTATATTCACCTGTCCAAATGTGCTAGCACATTTTTTCGCGCATCCGGACATCAAGTGGACACCATTCAGTGGTCGGTTAAGACAATTTTGTTGAATAGTGCAATAGATTTTCTATTACTTTGATTAGGTATAACTTTTTGTGCAACAGGACAGCAGTAATACTAATCATTATTTAGCCATTTTCTGTTAATCGATCACCGGCAAAGTTTGAGACTACAAATTGCAGAAAACCTTGACAATGGAAACAAGCGACACTTTAGTTTTAACTTGTTTGTAGTACTGTCAAGGTGCACTTGATCAAACAAGCGGAACTGAAAAAGCGCAACAAAACGCAATGATGTTCAACAGCTGTGATGAGGACTTACAACACATCTAAATTGCTATTCTAAAGTCCCATTAATTGACAATGTTCGGTGAGCTATAGAGAAAGCCCAACAAGTGCCTTAAGGTTCGACACTTGTTAGCTGTAATTTAATTAATGCGCTGACAAGCAAGTACTATCACAACTTTAAGCAACATTTACACACACTGTAGCAAACTAAGTGAGCATTGAAAAACTTAACTCTTTTTTGCCTCAGGCATTGACATCATTATTGACACGTTACGCTAATTTCTAATTACTTTTAAATGATTAACTACCCTCTAACATTCAACTTACTAAAAATAAATTTGTTTTGAATAGTTCTATACCAATTTTCATAATATTTAGGTGTTTAGTACATGCAGTAACTTAATACACTTTTTTCAGTTGATGTTCTGTGACAGTTGAAATGTTTTTGGCAAACGAAAGTATTTGCTAGATATTTTCACTATAGGGTGACTAACCTTGAGTGTTGTTGTACAACTTTTTCAATTGATTAAAATGTCTAATGCAATGACCAATGTCTAACTGCCGTTCAGTTTTAAGCATTTTGTCTAGTTTTACGCCAGCTTTAAGTGCCCTAATAGTTTCTTTTTTTAAATAAAAAGAATGCAAACAAGTTGAAACATACATATGTTGCTGAGTGATTGAAAAATGCAACAAACAAAAGTAGCTTACAGATATTGTTGGCAACTAGAGAAAAAATTCTAGATAATAAAAAAAGTACAAAAAATAAGTTCTGCAGCTGATGCATAAACACAAAGAGCTCATGTACTTTAAACGATTTAAAAGGGCAAATTAACTGATGAACCCCTTGCGCCGGTCATGCTTTTTGAATGATCAATTGCAACAAATCAGAATGACAAATATTACACTAGCAATTTGCAAAAAAACAATACAGGCCGAGCTCAAGCTACGTTCATACTCGCAAGTACGTTCACACAACAGCGCCACCATTGACAACAGTAAGCGTTTTTGCGGCACGTTTGCGCAAAACGCCAAAAAGCGCTGCACAAATTGTGAACGTAACTTGAGTTCGGCCTGTAATAAAGATTTTGCATATTGAATGCAAGTGGGCTAACTCATTTACAATTCGACCACTTTTTGCTAGTGTTTTTCATTTCAGTTTACTGACCTCATCTACAAAGTATTTTACATACGTCAAACATTGTTGTTGTTGGTTGTAGGAAAATCATCAAACAGAGACAATGACTAATACCCAAACTATGTCTCACTCAAACTGTCTCTTGTGGTGATCACTTGATTCAGCTGAATGAAGTGTATAAGTGTGTGTGTGTCTGTGTGTGTACAAAAACCATTTCGCCTCTTTTGAGCGTTGCTGCTGTTCGCACTTTCCCTTTCTCAGTCGAACAGCAGTTGATCAACAGCAGCAGCAGCACTGCCTTTCACACTGCCGGATGCCCTGTCCCACACTGTAAATCTGCCATCCACAACAAGACAGCAACAGCAGCAGCAGCAACAACAACAACAATAACAACAATTTCAGTAGCAACAATAACATTTCCACATGCAGTTGGTTTGCACTAATTGCAGGGTGATCACTTCAGGTGAACTGCAGTAGCCTTTGCTTTCCATTTGCCAGCTAGTAGTATTGATCGTACTTTAAATTGCACATATAATGGTGATCACATCTTTATTCTTGTCAGTGTGTCTCGTGAATCATTTTACAGCCACAGCTCATATTTCACCACAATTGATTTTTACTGCGGGCTTTTTTCTAGTGTGTAGTGTTTATTCTTCAATTTCACCTTTTGTTTTAAAACAGCACTCTGTGGCAAGCCAAATCTAACTATTATTATTACTACTTTTATCATTTTATCTTTAACCCAATATTCTTCACACATTCTTATTATTTCACTCATTCCCCACACACAAACACATTATCCTTCACCAGCCGCTCCACTCAACCGTCATCTACGAGCGGCCCCCTGACAGCGTGCACATTTTTTCCTTCCAACCGACACACAGACACATATTTCACCTCACTCCGGATCATACACTCACAGAGGCAAGACCTCACGAAGGATTTCCACGAGTCAACCAAAATAAACTCTAAACCCTTTTCACCCGAATCGTCCCCCAGCTGCAGCATTCCGGTCCAGCCAACAAGCGCTGCGAAACCGAGCTCAACAATCGGTTGCCACAACTCAACTGTAATGCACAATATTATGATGTTGTTTTAAATTATAATTGAATTACTAACTGATTGAGTAACCCTTCTTGAAAAAACCTTGTTCATCATTAATGCAGTCGCCAGTCCGTGTCACATAATGTCATTTAATTGCAACAGCAATTAGTAAGTCTTTTTTGTTTAGTTCTTTTATTCTGTTTGTGTTTGTTTATGCTTTGTTTTAGGGCGCATTTTTAACTTGTTGCACTACTCTTTTTGTTTTTATTTTGTTTACAAATTAATATTTTGTTTTATCATACTGACCTCGCACTAGAGTGGGCCTATTTTTACAGCAAATAACATTAAAATATTCAAAATATTTTACAATTACGTTCATCAAACTAAAATAGATAAAACTAACCCAAAATGTTTGTTATTTAACAACTGTTTTAAATTTTTGTTTAAAAAATTTTTACTTGTTTTTTAACATGCTACAACTTTTATATTTTTTGTTTCAGAAACATATCATCTAACGTTTCCTGGATCAAGTTTTGCGTTTTTAAATTGAATTTGCGTTGTTTAAACAGTTGAACACCACTGACAAGTACCATGCCTGAGCCAATCTCGGAGCTAAAAGTACCTGATGGCGGCTGGGGCTGGGTCATAGTCTTTGGCTCTTGCATGATAAGCTTCCTCACCGATGGCTTCAGCTACACTAGTGGCGTTTACTACGAGAAGTTTCTTGGAGTGTACAACCAATCGGAAGCAGTCACGTCGGTAAGTTGTACTAGGTAAACTTGGTTACCTTATTACCATAATTTCTGATCACGATTTCTAATCCAAACAATACCCACTACCCAAGATATACATATCTGTGATGACAGGCAGTATTTCTCTTGTTGGACCTTTTGCTTCAGGCCTCAGCCAGGTCTATGGCTGTCGTGAGGTGACCATTGTCGGCGCTGTCATTGCTGTCTCTGGAATACTTCTCAGCGTGGCCTTAGACTACAACATGTACGTCCACGCCGTCACACTGGGCCTCTTTGTAGGTAAATGCTAACACTTATTGCATGAACAAAAATATCAGTAAAATTGTTCCACTTTGCTAAACTTTGATTATTTTGCAGGATGCGGCCTAGGGCTGATGTTTCTGCCGCAACTGACCATCGTCACCGAGTGGTTCCACAAGCGGCTCGCCGCCGCTACGGGCATCTCCGTGGGCGGCTCCGGCCTGGGCATCGCCGCCTTCGCCTACATCTCCAACACCACCATGAACTACCTCGACTGGAAGTGGGCGATGATGATCATGGCCGGGCTGATGGCCCTCTGCATTCCCTTTGCTCTGACATTCCGCGAACCGCCGCACAAGGCCGCTCTCAGCGAGAATCTGAAGACGGAGGTCTCCTTCAAGGCGGCTCTCAGGGAGACGATCAACTTCAAGGTGCTCCGCAACCCGCTCTTCGCCTACTTCGTGCTGGTGAACACCGTCGCCAGTTCGGTGTACTACGTCCCCCTCATTGTGGCGTCGGACCGAGTGAAACGCAGCCAAATGGGCGACAGCAGTCACGGCGCCCTGCTCATGGTCTACTACGGGCTAAGTAACTTTGTGGCCCGTGCCGCCTCTGGCTTCCTCGCCGACCTGCCGCACGTCAACCGCACCTTCCTCTACGGAGTGGCCATCACGCTGATGGGCGTCGTCGTGGCGCTAACCAACTTTGCCCACTCCTTCGTCCTCATGGCCTGGGCCTACGTCGGACTGGGCGTCACTGATGGTGAGTGGTTAGGTTAAGTCGCTTAAGTTTGAACTCTTGAAAACTTTAATGTTTAAATACTTTATATCGTCATCGTTTATCAGGCGTCCACGCAACGCTAATGTCCGTCGTGCTGGTGGACGAGTTTGGAGTCGAGCAACTGTCAAACACTCTCGGCATTGTGCTCCTCTTTGATGGCATCTCCACGATGGTCGGCCCACCGATCGCCAGTAATTATTTAACAACGTTTATTTGTTTAATCCTTTCTAATTTTGGTTAATTAATTTCCCCCCAATGACAGATTCACTGGCAAGCTACGATCCAACCTACGCAAGCAGTATTTGGCTGTCTGCAGCTTTGATCACTTTCTCCGGAGTAGCACTGATGCTGATGCCTCTTCTGAAAGGACACTACGAACGACGGCGGCTCATCGACAAAGAAAGTGGCGCCAAAAGCGGTTAACATGTTTCGCTCTCCTTAACCCGCTCACCTTCCAACAACTTGTGCGAATGATTAGGAAGAAAACGTGACCACCATTTTTCATGTTGTCACTTTTATGACGATTGACAGCTCAATTTTTTTTACCTAAGTTTATACACGATTATAGTAGAATTGACGATTTTTAAACAATTTTTATTGATATCATTTATGTTAGTCGTTTTTCCTTTGTCAAGTATTTTTAAATACTACTCATTTTTATGTTTGATGACGAATAAGTTGCATTTTACACATTTTTTAATTACTATTTATTTGGCAACTATTGACCTCACCTTTTATTTTACAATATAGCACTTTTGAATAAAATTTTTTAAATAATCATTTAATGTTACAAGTTTATTAGTAGGGCGCAAAAGCAAGTAAAAAACAATTGAACAAAATTTGTCAATTTATTAAACTTTTGATTTGCTCAAAAAATGGCTCAAGTTGACTCAGCAAGTCCTCCTTTGTGCCGTCATTTTGAATAATGTAATCCCAGTGGCGTTCACCATCCAGACCGCATTCCGTCTGCTGATCATCTATTCCGGCGGTAAAGTGCCACCCTCTACTGACTCGAACCAGCTCCGAGCTGGTAATGCGCAGTTTAATAAGCGCCGTCGTTGTCATGTCAATCTCCGAAGCGTCGGCAAAGTAGGCTAAATCAGTGGGCCGACGGGCGTCATTGAGCAGCCAGATTGGCCTGTTTTCGAGTGTTTGAGTGGCCGCCTGGGTGATTGCCAGGCGGAGAAAGTGGTGCGGATTGGCAGCCCGAACTGCCTCGCTCCAGCTGACCATCTCCTGGCGGTACTGTTCTTTGTACTCCGAGGCAGTCAGCAGTTCGGCAAAGTCCAGACCGTGCTGCTGGGCGTAGGCGCCCTTGATAGGCGCAGAAATGCGATAGGAGAGCACTTGCCGGGGAAATCGCTCCAGAATGAGGCTCTCCAGAAAGTCTTTGCCGCACTTGCGCTTTCCGCTGAGCACTATTTGCACCTTTGGCTTGCTAAGTTGACTTATCTTCGCCACTAGTTGCTCGTCGGTGGCACATGATGAGGTGATTAATGATGACTGCTTCTGCTGTGGTGGGTCCATCGTCTAAGAAAGAGTAGGAAAAGTAGGATGTTTTAAAGTGAAAATCAAAACAGCAAAAATAAAAGTGACAACAAGCAAAGCTTACTGATCTACGGTTACTGGAGGGGCTGGATTGCTTTTGCGTATGCTAACGAAAAACGTGTCTTACAATGCTGCTGCTGTTGCTGCCTCCGCGGCTGCTGTCGTCAAGTTGAGTAAGCAAAAGACAGTGACAGTTGCGCATGAATATGCAAACAGATCAGATCATGAGTCTTAACTTTGAAACAAAACAGTAAGACATAAATGCTCCTGCCACCTCAGACTGATTCTCGGACAAGTCAGACAGAAAATTAATTTTGCGCCCGGACGCTGGCGCAGCGCAATGATCACCGCATTTTTTTCACTGTGTCAATTGTTCGCTGCGGTGTGTTTTGTGAGGTAGTGAGAGGAAGAAAGAGAGAGAGAGAACTTGGATGGCAGTGGCAGCCAGTTTGTCTTAACAGCCTTTGCACCGTTGAACGGTAGTGGCGGTGGTAATGGTCATCACCGACTTTGCTCATTCCACTGCTCCTTTCCTAAAAGCCATTCTCAGTTACAGTGTGGACCGGTAAATGTTCAATGCAGTGCAATGTGTTTGTATGTCTGTTTGTCGGTTTGTGCCCCTTCTCTGATCTTTCTTNTTTGCACCGTTGAACGGTAGTGGCGGTGGTGGTGGTGGTCATCACCGACTTTGCTCATTCCACTGCTCCTCTCCTAATAGCCATTCTCAGTAACAGTGTGGGTCGGTAAATGTTTAATGCAGTGCAATGTGTTTGTATGTCTGTTTGTCGGTTTGTGCCCCTTCTCTGATCTTTCTTGCCCCTGATGACTTATCAGTGGCAAACATTAGTGGCAAGTGGGCAAACAAACGGTAGCCCCCTCAGCAAAAAAAGCCAACCGGCGAAACTTGTTTCACTTCCATCACAAAGTCACACTGACACGCCGGTGTGAATGTGTGATTGCCTGCCAGATTGAAATGCTTCTGAAGTAGAGCACTACTTCAGTAGAGCATATCAGTTAACTAAGACGGTAATTAATTGTTTTGAAAAAAGGGTAATTTAATTAGTAAAACTGAACTTACAAAATATATATTTTTCATTATAATCATGCGGTGGTTAACAAGTTAAAAAAGTTTTTTGACGATAATTTTACAAGATGGCTAAAGTTTAGTTCTTTTTGCGCACTAGTAAAACAATATTGTTTTGCACGTATGAACAAGTACAATAGTGATTCATTGTGCTTTGCTTATGTACAGTTTTCTTTGAGAAAACAATAACAGTACAAGCCGTTACTTAGAAGCATGTACCGTTTCTACTGCTTTGCCTCTGTTTAGATTTGTTTTTCAGTATGTTGCAACTGTACGCCAAATAAAAAGTTTGAAAATGAGTTTGTCGAAACTTTATTCTACTGCTGCTAGATAGATAGCAATGCTCAAAAGTTGCTAATGGCATCTGCCGCTAAAAAAATCTAAAATACACTGGCGCGATAAAGTTGTGTATAAGTTTAATGCTGGTAAACGTGGGTTTTAAAGATATAACTTTGCTAAACTTTTAAAAATTAAAAAGTTTTTGAGTTTTAAAAAAATAAAAACGCTAAATCTTTCTATCCCTAAAAATGATTTAATTTAAAAAACAATTTTAAAAATTTAAAATAAATTTTGATTTCAATTGTTCAGCATATTTCCTCATATGTGTAAAAACTACAACTATCAATCACACAATGCACCCAATGTAAATGATAGCGATAAATTGGCATTGGTTTTTTACTTAAGGAAAAATCTGTTAAGTTGTTATCAGTGTAGATATTGGTTTTCTACACAGCAAGGGAAACTAGCGGTAAATGGTAAATCACTAAAAACAAAGTTCGAAATGCAAACAAATTTTTGATCATGTTAAAAATACAAACTCTTGTCTACTTATTAACTCGGACGTTGTTTATCTTAATTGTTGTTGTAGCAATTTTATTCAATACTGCTCCAAACCCAAACTATGACGCTGATGAGTTTAGAACAACAGTAAGTTGCTTTTTGTCGTTTCTTTTCATTCTAATAATTTAAGTGCGTTTTAGTGTGAAATTGTCACCGCACGAGGCTTTCACTGTGAAAAGCACTTTGTTCTCACGCATCAAGGGTACATTCTTGAAGTGCACCGGATTGTTACGCCGTATTTCAAACGGAAAACATGTCATCCGGTAATACTGCAACACGGTCTAACTGGCACTTCGTCCAACTTCATCATGGCATCACCGCATGTTCCCCTTGCACCAAATGTAGTGGGACAAAATTTAGGATTTGAGTTAGCAAAACGTGGCAGGGACGTTTGGTTGTCCAATTATCGAGGCAATGACTATGGAATGCAGCACGTTTCATTGAGTAGTTCAGGTAGCTGCACGTTTGAAATGTTGTGTTCAATTTTAACTTTTGCATGGTTTTCAAGATGAACAGTTTTGGAACTTTACTTTCGATGAAATCAGTCGTTTTGACATGCCAGCCGTAATAGACTACGTTCAATTAGCAACAAATCACTGTATGTTGTTTGAAGCAAAGTTAATGGTATTTTAGTATTTACAATTTTTGTTTTCTTTTTTATGCAGCTAAAGTGTCTTACATTGGCCACTCACAAGGAACAGCCGTCATGTTTGCCTTATTGTCTGATCCTGTGCTTTCAATCAAGTACAATGACGTTATTCAGCCATTCGTTGCTATTTCACCGATAACTAGAATTGGTAACGCTACAACAATATTTCGACATTTGGTTAAAACATTGCACAGTTTTAGTTCAAGGTAAATTACAAACAATATTTTTAATATCATAAACACATCAAAAATTATTCTTTATAAAGTAATGAAGGCCCAGCGTTTTTAAAACAAAGCGGATTGGCAAAATTCAAATCTATTTTGTGCAACAGTCCTTTTCGATTTTTGTGCAAATGGTACATGTTCTCAATGTACGGCTACAATGACCAGACTAACTTGGTAGGCTATTTGAATCAATATTTTAGCTATATACTAACTGAACATTTTGTTATTTAGACTCGATTAGCTGTATACACCGCTCACATGGGCTCAACTTCTAAACGCAATTTACGGCATTTTCATCAACTTTTTAGTAGCAACCGATTTGCACGTTTTGACCACGGACCTGAAGGAAACATGCAAAAATTTGGTCAAAAAGAGTCCCCTTTATATGATTTGACTCAAATCAGACACAATTCAATACATGTTATCTATTCATTAAATGACTTATTTGCACCACTTGATGGAGTTGAGCAACTTAGCAAGGACATTGCAAATCTTAAAGAAATGTATGAAATTCAAGACGCTCAGGCAAACCATGCTGATCCACTTATTGGAACTGATGTTGCGGTTGAAGTTAATAACAAAATTTTAAACATTTTGAAGCAATATAAATGATTTGTTTAAGAGTTTATACTTTAGCGCAACATGTAAAAGTTTAAATAATTTCATTAATTTAAAAATTCTGAAATTAGTAATATTGTGTTAAATCAAACTGTATATTTGTATTAATGCAAAATAAAAAATTATTTTAATGCGTAGTAAAATACAAAAAATCTATTTCAGAAACTTCCATAGCTCGCACCGCAGATGTACTTTAGCATAAGACTCTACCTCTATCGCTACTAAAATCTATTTATCTTGTTCCCACTTATGGCAAAAACGTCACAAACAGTCTGACAACCAAAGCATGCCTTTACGTATTTTCCATCCTTTCTCTCTGTTTCTACGTTCCAAGACACTTTGGGGAAAGATTTGAGTAGTATTGACCAATCTGGTGATAGAAAAAAAGAACACTCGGTTTGTTGTACCAGGTTTATACTTTTATGCCTGTAGACTGAAACTTGGCTGTCTATATAAAAGCGCCCTCCAAAGTGGTCGATGTTTAGAGGTGTACAGACACCAGCAAAACAAAAGCAACAAAAAACCTCACCTGTTTACCCTAAAAATGAAGTTTTCTCTTGTCTGTTTGGCACTCTTCCAAGGATGGATGGCGATGGCCGGAAAGCCTTGCGCCCAGTTGCCACCAGGTCTAGAACGTATGTCTCGAGGCGTGGACATCACCTCGCTGGACCTCTTTCCCACCGACCTGTCGCTGGCTTCCGGTTTTCGCCAGTCGCTCTTTGACTTCACCTGCGACTCGGGCGCCACCTGGAGCCACCCCTCGCAGAGTGGCTTTTCCTTTGCGGTGCCCGACCAGGTGGCCGCTGTGAACACCCTTCCCGGCGGTGCCCTCAACGACAAGCTCACCGTTCACAAGCAGCTGAACTCCTACAAGAAGGCACTGTCCGTTCAGGTGGGCCTGGACGTGAACACTGTCGTCTACGGCGACTACTCCCTTAGTGTGGGCTACAAAAATGCGCAGGAACAAATTCTAGAGTCTAACGCCACTATTTATGATGTAAGTGCTTGTGGCGGCTTTTTTAAACTAAAAAAATATAACCAAACTTTATCTTTTATTAAGGTTTCCGCCTACGTTTCCGCCGTTCAAATGGACTTTAAGCCATTTGTGACGCTAAAACCGAACAACGCTTTTGTGCACTTTCTTGCAAAGCTTCCGGCAACCTATTCAGCAAACCCTGCCGTTTACCAGGAGTTTTTGGACACCTTTGGCACGCACTACTTTGAATCGGGCATTTTCGGCGGCTACCTGCGTCAAGAGACGATTGTCGAAGATCGGTACCGCTACGAAACCAATGACCGCGACATTACCACAAACGTCCAGGCCAAGTACCAGGTGATGGTCAGCGCCAAAGTGGGCGTTGACACCTCGAAGAACACCAAATCAGTAATCTTTGACCGGTCAACGAGAACGAACCGTTACTACTACGGTGGAAAAACCAATCTAGTTAATAAAATGTCCGCCGAGCAGTTTGCCAAGTGGCAGGAAACCGTCTCACACGATCCCTGGCTGTTTGGCGGTCTGATTAAGCCAATTGAAAATCTGATCGACAACGAGGCGGTTAAGGGCCAGATTAAGACGGCCGTTCACGTGAAGCTCACCAAAGCCTACCTGCAGGAGCTGAAGCAGACGCTGGTGCTGATCAGTCGACAGGTGCCGCAAACTTCGGCGCAGTCAGGCAAAATCAACGAACTTCTTGGGCAGCCCATTCCCAATCAGGCGGAGGTGTTGAAGGTCGCCGATCAGGTGAAGGCTTTAGTTGCCCAGGCTCAGGCGGTGAAGGACCGCGCCTTCCTCGAGCAGTACGCCGCCCAGCTGACCACTCTTCAGCACTACGAACTATTCTGCAAGAAGGAGGTGGCCAACCGGTGTGACCACGAGCTAAAGCACGACGTCAACGAGGTAGTGGCCGAGGCCTCTCACCTGGCCGTCACCATGAGCAACATGGCGAAAGCCAGCTCCGGGCAGCCTGACTCAGAGACGGTCCGCGGTCTGGTCAGTCGAGCTCATGAGATTGTGTCTCGAGAGCAGACTACGCAAATTCCGCAGTGTCGTGAGAAGCTCTTCTGCAACCTCTGCAAGGACGTCGTCATTGACCTGATCAAGAAGGAGCCCTGCAACACGCCGCACATTAAACACCTGTTGAGAGTGCAGCTGTAATACTGTTTTAAACTTGGTAAATCAAAGTAAAACTACGGATTAGTTTTGTTATAGTTCTAAAAACGTAAAACATTTTTGTTTGTTATTAAAATAAAAACGCACAAGTATGCCCCAATTGCCCAAACTTGAAAGATATCTGCCGCTGATGATGATAACAAAGAAAATGGATAATATAGAAGCAATTTTTGAAATTTAATATGATCATTGCATATCAGTACTAGTGTTTAGTAAAACGTGTAAACACCAATTTGTTAATTTAACAAAACTAGTACTAGTCTATCCAATTTTAAAAATGATTTTCAATAAGGTAATTTGTTTGTTTACAATATCATTTTCTTGATTTTTTTACTTTTAGATATTGCAACATTTTTCTGGACCAATTTTAGCTATCGCTGCTGGCCTTTTCTTTGCCTCTCAGTACACAATAGCAAAGTTTATTCAAAGTTTGTCTCGAGCTGAAATAGCCTTTTTGAGATACTTTGGCGTTCTATTTATCTCTTTTCCAGTGTTGCTGGATTCGGGTGAACCATGGCTGGGCCCGGCAGATTTAACTTTTCGCCTGTGTATCTTTGCAAGAGGGTCTTTTGGGGCTTCAGCAATGTTGTTCAAATTTTACGCCATGCAGCACATCAGCCTGGCAAACGCCACCGTTATCAGACAGTCCTCACCAGTATTTGTTTTTGTGTTTGCAAGAATTTTCCTTAAAGAATCATTCACCCGGTACCATGGAATCAGTTTGATGCTTTCATTAGTGGGCATCTCTCTGGCATCGAAAATGCACGTTTTGTTTCTTGGATCAGCTACTGAGCCCTCCGTTGAGTTGACTCTGGGCAACGCTACACTGAATACTTTTGATAATCATAATGATCAGACTTTCTACTTTAGCGCTGAAACTCTGCACATTCTGCTGGGAAACATTTACGCCTTTGCTGCCACACTGTCAGCAGCTGCAGTCTGTGTGTTGCTAAGGAAAATGAAAGCAGTTCATCACTCGGTTATCAACTTTCTCTTTTCCGCCATTGCAATGGCCGAGCTGGCTCCGCTTGCTTTCATTGTCGATGAGTTCGTCGTTCCAGTGGAAGGTTACCTGCCCTACCTGCTCATTGCGCTAGGAACCTTTGCCTACTACAGTCAGCTGACATTGGTGAAGGCAATACAGAAAGAAGAAGCCGGCGTTGTGTCGATTATAAAAGACAGTTCAGAAGTAAGTTTTGTAATAATGATTATAAAATCAATTAACCGTCGTTTCTTTTAGACTGTTTTTTCTTTTCTTTTGGAAATGCTGGTTTTCGGCGTGCCGCCAGATGGTTTTGCAATAGTTGGTGCAGTACTGATCACTTTTGCAGTAACACTAATTTCAATGCGAAACTATGTAGCAGGACTACCAAATGATGATCCAAAACGAAATACCTTTAAACTTCTTACGTATTAAAAATAGTTGCTTAAACTTGTTGAAAATTACTTTTTTGATTGTGTTTTATTCAAAAGAAAATATTGAAAGTTTTAAATAAACTAGAATTATTACTGTATATTAATAATAGTCAAACACTAATTAATCGAAACCATTTATTTTATTAATTTTTTAACAGCAGCAATGAAACAAAAAAGCAAATGCATGGCAAATACTTAGTTTTTTAATTTTAAGTTAGTTAATACAATTCCCCTTAAAAATAATAAATTGATTTTGTTTAATCAACTTAAAAATTTATAACTTTAAATTTCTAAAAATTGAAAAAAAACATTATAAAATTGTTTTGTAATTGTTGAAAAATTATTTATTAATTATTATTAAATATATTAATAAATTTTAAGTGCACAGCATTGCGTTACGTTCATGTTCAATCATTAAAAATTTAAACAACTTGTTTAACAATTTTTGTGTTGAGGTAACTTTATTAGTTACTTAACACACAAGTTGTTTTTAAATTGTAAAAACTTGATTTGAAATGATTTTAAGCAATTTTTTGAACATTTTTGTAAAATTTTTTTGTTATAGTTCTAATTCCACAACAATATTATTAAAAATTAAAAATATTTTAAAACAACACAAAATTAATGTATCTAAATTTAAATTTGTTTACTATTTTTAATTTGTGTTGTTTTCAATTCGACTTCTTATTGCTCATTTTGCATTTAAAAATTTAAAATATCAGCGTTATTTTGATTATGATTTGCCAATAGCAAATGGTATTAAACTAAAATTTGTTGATTCAAACATGGTTTTGTGCATTATGTTATTTTTGTGGTTTGAATTTTATTTAGATTTTATAATTTATATAAAACCAGACAAATGGTTTTGGACTTTAATTAGTGATTTTATTTATTTAAATCCTTACAATTTTTTTCGCACTAATTCATTTCTTAAGTTTTCAAATTACAAACAATGTTTAAATTTCACTTTTGCAAAAAATTGGATCAATGATGCTGCAATTTACAAAAATGTTTATTTTCACTCAAAAAAATTACATTTTTGCAAATTGCAAATAAATAACAGAAACCGTTTTGCTTTAGTTTTGATAAATACATTAATTGAAAAAACTAACGTAGGGATTTTAACAGTAATGAGTAAGTTAATATTTTAACAAATGTTAAATTTATTTAAAAAATGTTGTTGTTTTTAGAACTTTTACTTTTATTACTAACAATAGATTATATTTTGCAACTATTTATCAAATTTCCTAATAAACAAATGTATCTTTACATTTTGTGTTCAATAGACATTTCTTTAAATTTAACTGCGTTATGGAATACAATTAAAATTTTGTTGTTTTTAGTTCATTCGACTACTATACTTTCAATTGCAATTATACTTTATCTAAAAACCATAAACCATCAATTTTTTAAAATAATGAACAACACAACCGATACAAAATTTGTTAATTTTAAATTATCTTTTATATATCAAGAAATTTGTGTTATAACAAAAATTATAGCTCAATCTGATAAACGATTCGTTTCACAACTTTTTCTTGCTGCCTACTGCAGTCAAGTTCCTTTAAATGTTAATTTAATTTCAATTTTAACATTTCGAAATTTGTTATTTAATGAAAAGGTGTTTTTTGTTATTGCAGCATTACTGCAGATAAACATTCCTTTTGTTGCAGCTCAAGCGCTCATTAGCATGATCAACAGTTATTACAAATTGCACACAAACTTGTACAAAACTCAATTTTTAAGATTTAAAAAAATTAGCACTTTTAATTATGTTAAAAACAAATTAAAACTAATGGCAAACTATGAAATAAACTGTACAAATAAAAAACTTTATTACAGTATTGGTTCAGTAGGAAACTTGTCAAGAGAAGGATTTTTAGAGGTAAAAAAGTTCGTTATTGTGTGTGTTTTATAAATTTTTATATTTTAAAACAGTTCATTTTGGCATATTCCGGATACATTTTTTATTCGTTTAAAATAGTTTATAAAAATTATGAAAGTTACATTTGACACAATATTGCAAACCAAAGTGATTATTTGAAATTATATGTATTTTTTATTTAAAACATTAAATGTGAACGTTTTATGTGAATGCACTTTAATAGTGCTTCTCTGCCCTTTTATTTTGTTTTTGCATTTGCAAGCTTGTCAGGTTGTCAAAATGTAAACACAAGTTTGTGCAAAAACAAATCGTCATTCAGCTAAATATTTTTCACAAAACATAGACAAATTGTTCAAGCGTTTGTTATTTTAAAAATACCCAATTGATAACACAATTTTTACTTATGAGTGAACAAATTGACCAAATTGATGATGATCGGCTGTTGTTGTACCTAATGGTAGTCGGTTTTCATCACAAAAAAGGATGTTTGGTAAGCATTAGTTAACATTTGTGTATTCAATCGCTTACTTTTGAGTCTTTTAGGTTGAATACTGTTATCCACCTTTAGATCCAAGTTTGTTTCAAAATGAAACTGCTCAAAATAAAAGCATTTCAAATGAAAGTAGTACAACCAAGTCTAATTTAGAGTTTGTTCAACTGCCGTCAATCTGGCAAACATTGCCATCACTAGCCATTCCAGATGGGGCACACAACTTTGATTCTGATACTGTGTTCTTTCATTTACCTCATCCGTCTGATTGTACAACTGCAATTTACTGCGTTTCATGTTATCGTCAAATTGCAACAAAGGTAAGCCACAAAACACGCCAAACATTCTTATCAAGTTTGCTTATTTAATCCTAATATCATTTTAGGATTTGCTTGTTCGCACCACTGACATGACGCGAAGTTCAGTTCAAAAAAGCGTTGTTGCAATTCTTCGTGTTCCATTTTACGGATTAGTGGAGTTCAAATTACGAATTATAACGCGAGCTTACTTCAACGAGCTTGATTTTAGCAAACGAGAAGTTTTGCGTGAATCATTCCACAACATCAACAGCCAATTAACCCTGTCAATGCTGGATTCTCCAGAGCTGTTTTCAGGCTTGTCTGTGCGCAATCTGTTTAATCGGTTTGGAAGTCAAGTCATTGTCCTTTTTAAACTGTTGCTACTTGAGAAGAAAACTATATTTATCATGTCTCCAATTCGTGAGTTGTCAGCTTCCATTTTGACTCTGTGCTCGCTCATTCCAGGCCTAGTGCAAGAAGGACTTGTGCATTCAGTTATTCCGTTCAACGTGAAAGCACAAACAAAAGAAACTGGTACTATTTTTCCAACTATGAACGTTGTCAAGGCACAACAAGCAAATGATGAAATTGATGAGCTAGAGAACCCTCAAAATAATGGCAGCCATCCGCAACCGAATGAAAAGATTGATAAAGAATTGGGCAGCAGAAGCAATTTATCAACGCAAAATACACTAATGAAAAGTGAATCACAGTCAAGTTTAGGTTCAACTGACTCAGTTAAACTAGCAGTTCCTGAAGAAAGTGCTGAAGAAACGCAAAAACGACTGGATGCCATTTTCAGTCACCCTCACGTCTACTACGGCTTTCCGCTACAAATATTTTCCTGCAGTTCATATTTGTTGCCATACTTTTCCATGCCGTACTTTGATGTACTGGTCAATGAACGAGTGCGCAGTTGTATAGCTGGCTCGTCAAACCAGATATTTAAACGATGGGAGAACGACATTGATGTGTTTGTTGTGGTAAGTGTTTTTTGATTAAAATTTCTCAACTATAAACTAGGCTAACGTTTGTTAATTTTTTTCAAGGACAATCAAATTGAGATTGATGATGTTCAATTAAAGAAAATATTGCGACCCACTTCTGAAGATATAAACTTCATGTCATGCATTATTAAATCAATTGAGGAAAACAGCGATTCACTTAAACCAGTGGACATATTTGATGAGAGTCAACATGTTTTCTACGAAGGAAGTGATGAGTGGATTCGCTGCCACTTTAAAAACTATTTACTTCACATGCTGAGATGTTCATCCCTAGATGGTATTTTTTTGTTTAAAATCTAAATGCTGTTAATCACAATTTTATCACGACTTTGTATTTTTACAGAAAACTCACGTGATTATAAAGCTTTTAACTCGCTATTTATGGATGTCTGGAAAACGACACACAACTACAAAGTTTGGTCTAGTGGACAATACACTGCAGCCTGTCACCGAGACATTGATCCAGCGCATCCTTTTTCCAGTGACCGCCTGAGCAATATTCGTTTTAAAATTGCCAAGTAAGCATTTTCTTTTTATATTAACATTAATCCTGTTTATATTTTTGTGATAGTTTGTTCCTAAACCGCCAAGACCTTATTAATCAATCGCTAAACAAACAGGCAATCAACAATGTCATCAGCAATGCCCGTTCAACTGTCAACTCATGGTTTAGTAATATTAGCAGCAATTTAAATCAAGCAAAAACCGTTTCTTCATCATGGAATAACTGGTTAAGTACTGCAGTGACTGGCTCTTCAAAATTGCCTAATTCAACAACCAGTGGCAATCAAACTTCCAAAACTGATAACCGCATTAATGATGACTTTTCAAAAAGTGATGATGATAAAAATGGCAAAAATGATGATCAAAAAGTAAACGAAACCAGCTTTTAAAAGTAAAAAACAAGCATTTGTAAAAAAACAAGCAAAACAAATCCCTTAAATGTCAAAATTTTTAATTTTAACATAAACAAATATATAATAAATTGTGTTTACCAATAACAAATCCTGTATTACAAAGTTCAAATGTGTTTTTATAACTTGATTGCACATGTTATATATAAAAAGTGTATTAAAGTATATAGGGTTTTATGTTTCAGTCGTCAGTTTCACGAGTTGATAAAATTGTTCAAACACATTGCGGTGTTCATTGGCAGTCAGCACTCCCATTAGCGTGTTGCAGAGATTCTCACTGTACTCACAACCTTTGGCAAATTTAGCCACACTGAGGGCATAGTCGAGGCTGATTTCATCACCGTAGGTTGCAACCAGTTTCTTGCGTAGTCGCTCAATTTCAAGCTCTTTCTTTGAGTGTGCATCGCTGGTTGAGCTGTCGGCAGGCACTGTTTTTACACCGTTGCTCAAGTTGGCTTCAGGCACAAATGCGGTTTGTTTGTTCAAAATGGGTAAAATGGCGTCCAACTGGTTTGCCGATTTTGCCGGTTCCGTTTCAACAATGTTTCCGTGCTTTGNTCGTAGTCGTTCAATTTCAAGCTCTTTCTTTGAGTGTGCATCGCTGGTTGAGCTGTCGGCAGGCACTGTTTTTACACCGTTGCTCAAGTTGGTTTCAGGCACAAATGCGGTTTGTTTGTTCAAAATGGGTAAAATGGCGTCCAACTGGTTTGCCGATTTTGCCGGTTCCGTTTCAACAATGTTTCCGTGCTTTGATTTACTATCATTGCTGCTGTCACTGGTTGTTAGCAAGTTGCCCACAAATGAGCCCATGCTTTCATTGAAAATATCGTTCTTAATAAAGGTTTGCTTGGATGAGGCGGCAATGTCGCCGGTGTTCAGTGTTTGCAGCGTCACAATGCCTGTGGCGGGGTTTTGCCTTAGAACTGAGTACGCCGGTGGTCGCCTTTTTGACTGTTGCAGCCTTTCGGCGGCTTTCCGAGCTGACTCCTTAACGCTGGCCACCAACTCCTCAGCAGTCATACCGTCGCACACTATGTTTTTCTTAACTGGGGGCTCTTTAGGCGGTTCTGAAATGGAAACAATCCAACAATTTGGTTAGTGTTTTAAAAATGGTTTTAAAAAGGTATTTCTTACCAATAACTGAAACGCTTGGTTCTGGTTTCTCCTGGCTTTCCACCGTTGGTCGGTTGCTGCTCGGCTCAGGCTCCAGCAGGCTGAATGGCGTCGTCGAAGTCATCGGAGCGATGCCATCAAAGCCGACGGGCATACTGGCGGGCTCANTGCTGCTCGGCTCAGGCTCCATCAGGCTGAATGGCGTCGTCGAAGTCATCGGAGCGATGCCATCAAAGCCGACGGGCATACTGGCGGGCTCAAAACGTGCAGGACTAGACTTGAGGAGATTCGTGCTGGTGCCTGGAATGCCGTTGTTTGCCGCAGTTGCAGCCGCCGCCGCCGCCGCCGCCGCCGATTCAGCATTGAATGAGGCAATGCTGAAGAAGGGCACTGAAGTTGAATGGGTGGAAGTGGAATGATATTTGCTGTTGCTCAGCTGAGAGCTGCTGGGATTTAAGCTCAAGTCAAGCGGCGTGCACTTGACGTACGTTTTTGCGTACTCCGCCAGGGAAGCGTTTTTGAACAGTTTGTTCTTTGTGTAGCTCCACAGCTTGCTGGCCGCTTTGTAGTAGATGGTCTCGGCGCGGTTGTACTTCATGGCATTGTCGCACATCAGCTTGACGTCCGCCTTGAAGTCGCCTAAATTGTGGTAGTGCCCGCTGGCTATATTCCGCCCAATAGTTGACAAGTCCATTGGATGGGCAATGATGGCTGAGTACCCGGGTGCTATCAAGTCAGAGACGGGTTTGGCAAAAAACTGCTGAGCATCTCGTTTGGTCAGTTGTCGCAGCAAGTACGACAGTAAATCTGTAA